GGGGTAAAACAAATTCTAGGGATGGGGGGAGGGTAAAAATTGTTAAAATTTATCCCCTTAGAAAATCCTTATTTACGCCCCTGATCCAATATAATGTGGGACACCCTACCCTCAGAAATCAGCATATTGTAACAAAAAGGTTATTAAGGACACCGTGTACACTGTACATTGTACACAACTTTAAACAATTAATATTTTATAAAAAAAGAATAAAGATTGATGAGTGAAAAAATGTCTGTCGGAGAATATTTAGATTTTTGTTTCATTCCTGGTCGAAGCAAAACTAAAAGTAAAGGTATTTATATAAGAGTTACATTTTATTTGTCTCAAATAAAACAATATTTTTCTTTAAAATAACATTTTTCTTTTTAAACTACATTCCTTTTATACAATTCAGAAGAGTCATGGTTTAAAGTTTAAAATTCTTTTTTATTTCCCGGAATTCTGCTGAATTTCAAATTTATTGAAAGAATAAATAATAAATGTTAGAAATATTCTCTTGGCTGATTTATGTTATTTGCAGAGGTTCAGTTGACAACATTTTAAAATGTGAAAATTCCTTTTTTTCAAAAGTATTCTTAGATTTGTTGATGGGTGAAAGTTATTTTATCACCCTACAACAGGGTGATAAAGTAACTTTATCGACCTGCTATTAAATAAGTTTAATAGAATTGAATAAAACTGTGTTGGTAAAAAAGTTTTTGCTTTGATTTTTACTTTTTGATTTTTACTTTTTCTATTGTGTTTTCTAGTGTGTTTTCTAGTGTGTTTTCTAGTGTGTTTTCTATTGTGTTTTCTATTGTGTTTTCTATTGTGTTTTCTATTGTGTTTTCTAGTGTGTTTTCGTTCAAAGTTTATTGATTATTATTTTTTTATAAGTGAATTCCTTGAGCGTGGGGCAGAAATAATAAAAATACAGTTTGTTCATAATTTTGGATAAACCAAAACATGAACATTTTGTTCAGAATGTTTGAAAAATCTCTTAAATTAGCATAACCTCAAAATTCTAACATACACGTCACACGTCGTAGGCTTCCACGCCCTTCGTAACAATCCTCTGTTTCAACTTATAATCTGGGAGCATTTTCTCTTAGTACTTATTAAACAATGACAAAAAATTGGCAAAGGGGATGGTGGAGTTGGCACATTTGATGTAGGGGGGGGGGGCCCTGCCTTCATTTTTGATTCAAATCTTCCAATTTTTTGGGTGCGCGCCTAATTAGGGTTCGAAATTCCTATAATAAAATAAAATTGAACTTTAATGACCTCTAATGACCTCTAATGACCTCCACAAATAGAAAATATTTCAACTATGGCTTAATGCATATCAAACGAAAGCTGGGAACCCAGGGAATCCAGTAGCAGCAACAAATCCAGTGTTTGACCTTCTAATGACCTCTTACGACCTCTAATGACC